TGCCATCGCTGTTGGTGGATCTCCAGCCCCTGAGTGACCTCTGCTTAAGGAAACTCCACTCTGGTTGCAGAAGGGGCTGGGTATGGACAGCACAGAGCACCATTCACACCATTCACTCTACCCTGCTCTCACAGGGACTCCTGGGGACGCGAGCATCCAGGGATCCCAGCTGTCCTGATGCAGTGATGAGAAGCTGCTCTTCCTCCTGTCCCCAGAGCCGGTGCACTGGGCAGTGTCTTCAGAGGGTGGCAGTGGACAGAGCTCTGGCTCTGTGGGTAAGGCCCTGAGTTCTCAGGCCCTGACACATGGCAAGTAGCTGTGAGTGGAGACACAATGATCTTTTCACCTTTCTTGGGGACAAAACCCATCTCCCAAGGTAGAGTGATTAGCAGAAAGGGCTCACGGTGTAAGCAGTGCGGTACTGGATGATCTTCATTCTGAGAGAGAAGCCAGATGGCTTCTCCCCTCATTGAGGCTCCATAGATGATGTCAGTGATAGGGAGTAGACAGGAAGGGTGTTGAGGGGACGGAGTGTATCCTGTTGTCTGCCCCTCCACAAGGACCTGCATTGTACCTACTGTGCAGAGGGGCAAGGAATGAAGGAACGCTGGGCAGATAAAGGGGCCAGGGCTCTCCTGACCCAGAATTCTAACTGTGTATACGAGGCTGAATTTTGTGTTCTGAGGCCCATGCCTCCTGTCACGGTTGATTGGATCAGGGCAAGGCACATCCCAAGGGAAGTCAGTCTACAGGCTGCCTAGTGACCCGTGCAAAATGAGTGGGACCAATCAGATGACTTTTCTTTTTTGCTGTACTGGGGACTGAACCAGGGGCCTCACAAATACTAGTCAATTCTTTTGAGCCACACCCCCAGCCAGCCCTTTTGTTTTTTAATGTTTTGTTTTTAAGAAAGGGTCTTACTAACTCTACCCGTGTTGGCCTCAAACTCTTGCCTCTGCCTCCTGAGTTTCTAGGATTACTGGTATGTACCTCCATTCCTGGCTCCAACTGGATACTCTTGTTTAAGATAATCAGCCACTTCCTGAGTGTGCTGGTATACACCTGTAATCCCAGCTATGCAGGAGGAGGCAGAGGTAGGAGGATCACAGTCTGAGGTTGATCCCAGGGCAAAAGCTCAAGACTCAGCTGAAAATTAAAAGAAAAAGGGCTAGAGGTGTAATTCAAGTGATAGGGTACCGCCTAGTAAGTGCAAGGCCCTGGATTCAAACCCCAGTACTGAAAACAAAACAAAACAAAACAAAAAGGCAACAGCAGCCTCTCAGAGAAGTGACTACAGTGCTGCAAGGCAGGCAGGAGTAGGGCTGACAACAGACCTGGGGCAGCAACACCTCTGAGAGAGCGAAGTCAGCTAGCAGGGCGAGGAAGATGGAGTAGGCCAAAGCAAAGAATTGCTCACACACATTTAACATTTACTATGGGCTAGGCACAGTTCTAAGCGCTCAATGTTTTTTTCATATAATCATCCTAATCCACACAGCAGGCCCTATTCCACTGTTATTATTCTATAGTTGAGGAAACAGGCAGAGAGAGGTTAAGCAACTTGCTCAAGGCTACACAGCCAGTCAATGTCAGAGCTGGGCTTTCTAGCTTAGGTGGTGATAGCAGTGCTGCCCTGCTGCCTCCATCGGGATAGGGTCCCAGGCCTGTGTTCTGCACTTTCTGCCCTCCGGGGAGCTACACGTCTCTTTCTTACCTTCAGTGTGTCTTGCAACTCAAAGCACCTGAAGTTCTAAAGAACCCCTGGCAGGGGAGAGTGGATGCTTTCCATGCAGGACCTCCCTAGCCTCCCAGGATCCTTGGCTCCAGTGTGGGGCTGGTCCACAGGCTGCTCAGTGACAGGTCCCTTGAGTGGGTTGTCATCAAGAGCTGGCAGCATGGGCTGGGCAAATGGGTGTCCCAAGGCCAAGAAATAAATACTTGCACAGTGACGACATCTGAATCCAGGGTAGGAGTGCCAATGCAACAATGAGCACTTTGGTACCCGAGTCTGGGTGTTGGTGTCTGAAATTCCATTCATGCTTATGCCTGAAGATCAACGCTATTAACCCTGATGTGCACAAGTGGGGGCTGTGTTCCCAGAAGTGGTGGATAGGGTGGGGACAGGGCAGCCCCAAGTCTTATCCCCAGCAAGACTCATGTAGGCACGGTGAGTTCAAACATGGGGCTTGCTCCCTCACTGTCTGCAGAGGGCTTGAGTGTGAGGACTGGATCAGAGGTCAGGAAATGCCTGGGCTCTGTGGGGTTCCACTGCCTGACTTTCCAACATCTGACCCATTCAAGGTCAGCTTGGAAAAATCCTCAGAACAAGGAAAATCAAACCTCCACTTTCCCTCCATTCTCTTCTAAACCTCTCTCCCAGGTTGGCAGGCACAGGTGGAGACCTGTGACCTTTCTCATCCAAAGGGCCATGAATTGAAGGTTAACCAGGGCATGTGACACCATTTGCTGCAGTTATCAATTACTAAAGTTTGTGTGTTACCTAAAAAAAAAAAAGAGCAAAAAAGAGAAGCTGGGCACCAAAGGCTTCCAAAGAAGCATGTCCTCTCTGGGCTGGCAAAGCCTAATGTGGTGATGGCAGGGAAGGAGGCCCAGCCACAGCGGGCAAGAAGATCAAGAGGGTTTGTCTAGACCAGCCCTGAGTTCTAGGGGGAGCCGCAGGGCACCTGTCTTCAAAGAGCCTGCAGGGACTGAGGCTCTGGGGTTTAGCAGGTGATCTCCTGGAGTTTTCATGGGGCAAAAAAAAAGAGCGGTGTGTAAGTTTATATTGTTTAAAGCTTTTGGTGCATGTTTTATAATAGACATAGTATGTTGGTTTAAGGTGTCACTTCTCTATTCAACTGTACTGCTATGGGCTTCTCAGCAGAGATCACCCATCTGGAAGTGGACTGGACTGCCCCCAAATCTTGGTGGTCCTTCCCCACAGCTGACAGGGCTGACATTCCTGTTCAGAAGCTGGGCCTTGGAGGCAGTGGTGGCTTAGGCCCACTCGAAGGACAGGTCAGAGGCCACAACCAGCTCTGCCTCCAGGCCTCCCTGTTCACCTACTTTTAACAGGCAACATTCTCCAGCACAGATCCAGACCTTGGAGGCCCATCTCCTCCTCCTTCCTTTTCCCTACCATCCCGCACTCTCTGGCCCTGGCCCTCCAGGCTTCTGCAGCGCCCTCCCTCCTCTCCCAGGGTGGGCTCAGGGAAGGCTCACCAGGTTGGGGTTGTGAGAGCAGGATAAAGGAACACACTGCTTCAGACAGTCTGCTTTATTCAGTCTCTTTATTCAATCTGCAAAACCACTGTCAGTGACTTGTCTCAGCTCCTCGTGGGCCAAGTATTCCAGAGGAAATGCTTAAAGTTGGAGTGCATTTGGTGCCTGACTGCCAACACCTTTGAGCACCCCAAGGTAAAAAACAATAGCATTTGCTTATCCTTTACTTTTTCTAACAGAATTCCAGAAAAAATATATCTCTATCATATATATATATACACGCACACACACACACACACACACACATATATATATATATACACACACACACATATACACATAGAGAGCCTTCCACCAAGAGGCAAAGGATCAAGAGTGTTCCATGGTGCCTTTTGGCTTGGTATGGCCAGGAGGCCTCAGACGTCTGGAGACACTTGGGGATATGCAGTGCTGAGGCAGTGTTGCATGAAGCAGGGTTCCATCAGCCCTCTCCTTCATGGGAAGCTGTGGCATGACAAACTAGGGCGGCCCTCACGCCCTCTTCCCACACATCTTGAAATGAGAGCTGTACCTGAGGGAGCTTCAGAACTGAGCCCATGCTCAGATCAGAGGGGAGCCCTGCAAGGTTCCAGGCACTGGCTTCCCAGGGAAGAGTCACAAGAATAAGAAGTGGCAGGTTGGGAGCCGATAGCAGTATCTGCCCAGTAGCAATGACCCTTGCAGACCGGGCATGACAGAGACATGGGCACAGAAGGAGGGGGTCTCCAACCATGGCCCCCTGTGGAGACACAAGTGGCCAGGGTAGGTTAGGCTATCACCTAAGATAGCCTGAGATGCAATATGGGCTGTGGGTGATGATGTATTGTGGACAGTTCTAGAAACCGCCCACCTCCACATCACTAGTCCCATGGGGACCTGTGCTCTAAGGAAAGGCTTGAAGGAACATGTTGACACAGAGTATCAGAAAGGGCTGGGTCAGAGCTGTATTTTGCACTGGCCTAGGGCCCATGGGGACCGCTTGGGCTGAGGCACGTTTCCAGTGAGATGGTGGTAGAAATGGAAGAGTTAAAGCTGGTGATCAGTACACCTGGTCAGATACCAAAGGCCCAAAGGCACTTGGTGACAAAGAGAAGAAGCAAGTAGCATACAAGCGATGTCCTGAGACAAAGAAGGGCCACATGTGCATCTTTTGCTGACTCAGCCTGTCGTCTTCCCTGTCAGCAACCTCAGGCTGTGACTGCCCTGTGCTCCCTGAGACCAGTGAGCAAGGCTAGAGGTGTGGGGCTACCGGACCACAAGGCAGCGCATGGGCTGGGGTGAAGTACAGCCATCAGGGGCCCCCTGCCCTGCCCTCAGGAGCACATCTGGTCACAGTAACTCTGCAAGGTCACTTTGGGTTCAAGTGCTGGTCAGCTAAGGCACTAAGGAAGGAAACCAGAAAAAGCCTGGTCCAGCCAGAGGGCATGGCAGCTCATGGGGTTCATCTCTGTGGCAGACCCTCAAAGCCAGGAAATTCAGGGGTCAGGGTGGGGTGGAGAGCAGGGCTTGTGGCCAAGGCACAAGACCTTAGTGCACCTTTTGAAGGTGCACAGATAATAGAGGGGAAGGGCCCTGTGGAACTGTGACCTCTGCCTCCTGCCCCTCTCACCCCGCCCCCCCTTCCCCAACACTACAGTTCCAGGAGCAAGGGATTTGCTTCAGATGCAAATCTTGTCCATCTAGCTCCAGATGAGCAGCACCCAGGCCCAGCTGGCCCTGGTGGGAAGGAGCTGGGGTAGGAGAACTAGGAATGCAAGCAGCAGAAGTGCTGACTAGTGATGTATTACCTTGGGCTCTGCACCTGAATGCTATTATCCCTCCCTGCCACCCATGCTGGGCAGCCTCTGCTGCCGCCATGTAACTCAGAGCTCTCTGGGGATGATGGTGAAGGGTAGCACGGGGCTGCTGGCCTCCAGCTCCAGGGCTGTGAGGAAGCAGTCGACAGCGGCCTCATTCTGGCCTTGGGCCTGCAGCACCTCACCCAGGCCCTGCCATGCCTCATGGCAGATGCTCTGCCTCTCCACAGCGTCCCGCAGCACTTTCTGGGCCAGGCTTTTGTGGCCCAGCCGACTCAGCATCATACCCTGGAGACCAAGCATGGGACAGGGTTAGTGAGGTCCTCTGGGCAACAGGGAAAAGAGCAGGAGCATGTTCACTGACCACCAGCCAGAGAGGACTGAAGTCTCGCTTGCACACTGACAAATACCCCATGCTTTCTGCCCATGCAAACCCTACCTGTCCCCATCCAAGCCCTGCTTCAACTCCAGCCTCCCGCATCACCCTCTAAAGAAATTCTGTTCCTCCTAGCCCCAAGGAACAGGCCTTTAAGACCAGACCTGGCTTTCAGTCCCCCCATCTGGTGGATCCTGGGCAATCCATAACCCTCTAGCCCTCATCTTCCTCTGCAAATGGTAACGTCACAGCATCCTTCTCTAGAGCTGAGACAAGGAAATCAGCCAGTGGATAGAGAGCACTGGGGAGGACCTGGCACAAGGAAGCTCCCAAAAAGGGGACATTCTAGTCTTTGCTGCCTACAGTGCAGACTGCCCCTCATTCCACGGGTGCAGACAGCCTCAGCACTGCATTCAGAGATAGTCCTCACTGTGGGACGGAGGGGCAGCTCCTCTGCCTGCAGCAAGCAGTCTGTCTTCTCAGGGATGGCTGGGTCCAAATGCCCAGCTCAGCCTAGCCTAGTTGGGTGAAGTCACAAGGAATGAGATGGCTAGGGTGAGGGCAGTGCAGTGCTGGATGAGTGGACTGCATGGACTCAGGAATGAAACACCCTGGGGTCTGGGTCAGGAGCAGACAGGAAGTGTGTCCCTGAAGTTTAGCTCAAACAATTGTTGACTGAGAACTAGAGGAAGTGACAGGGATTGTTACAAATAGGGTCAGGGAAGTGAAACTGGCACTCTGTCCCCTGTACATCCTTTTCCACCCACACTGGGGAGGGAGCAGGGGGACAGGGTGGGAAGCATGAGGTCCCAGAAAGGTGGCTTTGAACCATCCCACCAGTCTTTATTCCAGCCTTCAAAGGTAGTGCAGAATGGCAGCACAGACTTGGGGGTGAGGTGGAGGAGACGGCTCTTCTTGTTCCAAAAGAGTAGGTAAAGCTCCAACACTGACTTCCTCGGCAGGTGGGGGGCCTGTGTGGGGGTGGGGAGCTGCCTTCTCTGTGCCTGGAGCCCCCTCTCTGCTTCCCACCCACTGATGGCCATGTACATTTTTAGCTGGATCATTTCCCTCCTCTGTGAGCTCCCCAGAGTTAGGCCCTCAGTTGCTATGGAGACGCACCAGGAAAGATGCACATGCCTGATTTCACAAAGTCCTCCAAGAGCTTGGAACATAACCAATTAGACGAGAGCAAGATGGCGGTCAGGAAACCTAGGAAAAGCCTCTTTCAGGAGGTGTTAGCTGAAGGTTCTGTGGCCAAGGTGGGGAGAGGAAGAGGAACTGTACTCCCAGTACCCTCATTTGACCCTGGACACAGCCACACCCAAGGAACCACACACATTTGGCTGAAGCTGGCAGAGGAAGGAGAGCTGTAGCAGGGTGGAGCCTTGGATAGGGCGCTGTCTCTAGCCAGATGTAAACTGTGCTGACTCAGGGCTGCCTGGGACCAGGGACAGTGTATGTCTGGCCAGCAGGGCTCCAGGCCAAGCTGTTTGGTCCACATGGTCCAGGCTGGACCCCAAGCAGCTCACAATGGAACAGAGCCCACAGGGAGGAGGGAAAGAAGGCTGGCAGATGGCTGCCAGACACCAAAATTAAGCACCAAAAATGGAAGGTTTGAGAACTGTTAGTGCTGCCCATGGGGAGCAACAGAGGACAGATGAGGGCCAGCAGGGCCTCCAGAGAAGGCAGGCCCAGAGTGGCCTCTTGCACTCTCAACTTTCTTTTGGCACTTCCTTTTATATGAGGTTTTGTTGGAAGGAAGGGTTCCATTGCTGAGAGTAAGTTTGAAGACCCCTCTTCTCAAGATGTGTTTGGGAAGGAGCCAGGTTGAACTGTGTGTGTGTGTGTGTGTGTGTGTTAGTGTGGAAGGTTTGCAGTGGTGTGTGTGTGTGTGTGTGTGTGTGTGTGTGTGTGTGTGTGTGTATGTGTCTGTCTGTCTTAGTGTGGAAGGTTTGCAGTGGCCACCTCAGCATGCCTGGGTAGAGGAAAAAGCCAGGACTTGGCAGCCAGATACCCTGACTGGATTGTAATTCCAGCTCTGCCACTGACAAGTAACCATAGTCAAGTGGCTGACATAGGCAAGTGGCTGACCTCTGAGCTGTGGTTTCCTTATCTATAAACCACGGAATGGGAGAGACCTTCCTGGTAGCAGTGTTTTGAAGATTCTGCAAGCTGGAGGCACATAGTGGGCAGGCAGTGAATGGCAGTGTCTTCAGGACGAGCAGAGGGTCCTTTTGGAATGGGGAGAGAATGACATAGCTGGTATCTCTAGAGGCTGGGAGAGGGCATGGTCTTTTGTGGGGGGAGGGCTGTGGGCTGCGGTAGTGTTGGCTCAAGTCCCCTGCCTGGGGGTGCTGACCTTAGAGCCTGAAAGGAGACACCAGGCTGGGGTCAGGCTGGGGCCCAGAGGCCCAGGGCCTGTAACAGGATCTGTGGCCATCTGCCCCTGACACCAGCCGCCTTCGTGTTTGGTAGCAACTCCGAGCTGTTGCTGCCTGGCAACTGGGTGGGACCCAACCCCAGGAAGATGGGAGGTCTTACCTGCTATGCTCTCAGCCTGGTGTTGCACCAGGGTTCACCAACACTTTTCCTGGCACCCCACATGCCAGAAGCACAGGTCTTTAAGAAGATGATGAGAACACAAAGTTGGTGTCTCAGTTCCATCCAAATGTCCCTGCCAAATTCTTCCTGTTCATCTGCTGACAGAGCCCAGATCTGCAGAGAGGCTCTCAGCTTCCCCTGGGCTGCCCACCCATAGGGATTACACAGCCATATGCAAGCTGATGATGGTGATGGAGCACTGCAGCTATAAGAAGTACCTGGACTAGTTCCAGCCTCCAATAGTGTTTCAGGGAGCAGCAGGGTTATGAGGGAAGTCCCCTCAAAACCCACTCCTGAATCTCGGGGCAGTGTAACCTGGCTATATTCATCTATCTGGAAACCTTCCCTGAGGATGGCAGCCTCTTGTCCACACAGTCACCTAGGGTTACAGCATTTCATTACTGTGAGGCTATTGTGTCCCATCCCTGTCCTGCTCCCCAGACTGAGAGGGGGATAGGGCCTCTGTCTCTCCTGCCTGATTTTCTGTTCTTTACAGAACAGCTGCTCAGAGCCTAGTGGGATGGTCCAGGATGCAGTCAGTGCTTCCTGGCCTCGCTGGCTGGCCAGGGATGCTCCCCACAGCGCTCAGGAAGTCTGTCTCTTAAAGCCACCAAGATGTGCAATCTGAGAGGCTCAGGCCCTTCTGAGGTCTGGTCCCCCAGTCTGTATGGAGACTCTACCGGGAGGGCTCTATAAGGAGTCAGGTTCTCTGTGGAGAAATAGGGGCTACAGCCTGGTAGAAAGGAAGGGTCTTGCTGTCCTCTTTCATGCTTGCCTCTAAATGCTATCCCCCCATTAATCAGTGCCTGATGATGAGTAGAGGGACAAGCAGGAAGGTCTTCTGGGGGAGCCTGCCCTGGGAAGCAGCCCTGGTTGTAGGCCAGCTGTCAGCTAGGCTAAGCGCTCCTCTCCACCCCTGCCCTCAAGTATTTATAGAAGTTATTTTGGGAATTTTCTTTCTGAGCTCAAGGCACATTCCTGGGATTCTATAACAGCCTTTCCAGCTGGGACGCTGGGAATCAGCTGGAGGCTGCTGGAGCCTACTGGTCCCTGGAGCCCCTGTTTGGGGACACTGGAGCTACCTGGAGGAGATAATCTACAGGAAGGCTCCTCCTGCAGCCACCCTGAAGTGTGACACACCCCTGGGGAGGCCCATGTGTTGCTAGTCCAGAATGGGCTTTAAGTTCTTTCAGTTGTGTGTCAGCCTCAACCTGCTCAACCAGACTGGAGCAGGGCTGCTCCAAGGATACAGGCTGGCCCTACTTCCCTGTAGGGGGAAAGGGCATAAATCCTTCCAGACCCATCCAGTGCCTGACTGATATGCCAGCCCCAGAGCTCTCAAAGAGGGCTGAGAAAGTCCCCAAGCTCATTGCAATCCCAGCCTAGGTGGGGTCTCCTAGCATAGTGGGTGGCTATGCCCTTTGTGTTGCTAAACCCATGCCTGCCTGTCCCTTTCTCTTCCAGTGTCCTTGAGAAGCCAGATGTCTAAGACCTGCAGCTCTCTGGCCAGGCTGGGGATATTTGTCTTCAAGGGGCAGGACTGAGAGTCCAAAACACTGGCTTGGGCAGAGGGCAGGTCACATTTGGGGACTCAGGGGCCTGTGGACCACCAGGAATTGAACTCCTGGCCAGCCCCACCTTTTGGCAGGGCCAGTCTTGACCTCTCTTTCTCTGGGCTGGTTTCAGGTTCTAGGCAGGCTGGGAGCTCTGCCCATCTGGAGGCATAGCCAGCACTCCGGGTGAGGGAAGGAGGCTGTAGCTGGGCCTCTGAGTCCTGGGTTCTAGATATGAACCCCTGTATTGGGAAGTGAGAAGGGGGCCCAGTTGCAGAAGCTCTCTTCTCTGAGCAGGAGGTAGAGCCTTAAAGGGGGTGGGGCGGGGTGCAAGGAGAAGCAGTTTGGGGGGCCTATTGGACAGGAGAATTAAGGGTTATACCATGTTGCACCCTCTAGATATAGTGAGTCTTTCCCACCTTTTTGTTGACAAAATGGATTCTGAAGCTAAATTAAGCCACAGTGTCTTTAAGCAATGACAGTCAACTATCATTGCAATCTGAACCTCTGCCCACCCAGGGGCAAGGGGAAGAGGGGCTTTTGAATCCTAGTGAGATTGATGCTAGGTGCATTTCTTGCACTCTCCTCTGTGGGGAGCCTGCAGAACCTCCCCGCCACTGCCACTTTTGCATGGCATGAAGAACACAGCCTCAGGCAATGTTGGTGGGGGGGGGTGGGAACTGAGAACCTACAATAAAACCACCTCACTGGGAGGTCAAGTGGCTAAGACATTCCTATTGAATTTGCCAGCCAAACAG